TCGAGTCCCGGACATGGTGGCTTAAACTCACGCCGGGCGTGTGTGTGTGCGTGCCCAAGATCCAGAGAGGAGAATGGAGGAGAAGGGATTGTGGTACGGCCATCCCCCCTGGGGGGGGATGGTGATTTCTCACTTTATGTCTCTCTGTCTGTCTGGCGAGCACACACGCCCTATAGCAAAAACCTCTCCAAAAAAAGAAAAAAAAAAGCATTTATCTACAGAAGGCCAGTAATGTAAACCATCTCTGCTTCCTCCTCAGGTATTTGCTCTTTAAACTTCATTTAACATGGAAGTAGTTTTTTTAAAGAATTATTTAATTTGATTAATTAATTTATTTTTATTCTGACCAGAGAGACAGTCAGAAAGCGATCTGGGATTTGGACTGTGGTCAGCCATGTGAGAGTGTCCAGCACCTTAACCACCACGCAAAGTATTTTAAAAATGTGTTTGATGGGGCCAGCAGGTGGCATGGTTGTTAAGGCACTAGAATTTCCACATGACCAACTTGGAGTCTTAGACTTCATGGCTTGCTTTCTCTCTCTCTCTTTCTCTGGCAAAATTCAAGTGAAAAAATAATAATTAAATAAATCTTTAAAAATATGTTTTACAACTATAATTTATTCATGTATTTGTTAAGGGAGAAGTTTTTTTAAAAACAATGATTTTATTTAACTTTATTTATTTTAATTTGACCAGAGAGGGACAGAGAGAGAGAGGGAAAGTGAGAAAGTAAGCCTCCAGGTCAGACTCGAACTGCAGTCTGCCATGTGGGAGTCCAGTGCCTCGAAACACCACACCACCTGCTAGCCCCTTTTAAAAATTTTTTAACTGCCAGAGGGCATGTGTGCTTGCCAGAAAAAGAGAGAAAACACCTCGTAATGGGCCTGCTCATGCCACAATCGTTTCCCCCATTTCTCCACCCCATCAAGATTCTGGGTACATGCACACATATGCCTGGTATGTTTGTCAAGCTATGGTAGCCAGAATTCCAACCACAATTAGCCACGTGGGATCCAGCTTTTTATGTACAGTACTTAACCACCGTGCTAAGGGGCCAGCCCGGAAAAAGGGATTGTTAAAGACACTTTTTTTTTTTTTTTCCTGAGAGAGATGTTTGCTATAGAGCGCATTTGCTCACTGGAGAGACAGAGTCAGAGAGACAGAAAGGGAGAAATCACCCCACCCCCCCCATGACCATGTAGCAATCCCTTCTCCTCCATTCTCCTCTCAGGATTTTGGGCGCACACACACACACACACACACACACACACACCTCTGGCATGAGTTTCAAGCTATCAGGTCCAGGACTTGAAACACAGTAGACTACATAGGAGTCCAGCAATACAACCATTAGGCCATCTGCTGGTCCCTAAAGACACTTATTTTAAAACACAGAAATGGAGGCCAGACAATGGTGCAGCTATAAAAAGCAAGGCTCCCAATCCACATCTGGAAACAACCTCGTGTCCATGATCCGGGCTGGCTGAAGTGGGGATGGGTCATGAGGCCACAACCGTTTGGATACTCTTTCTGTTACTCTCATTTGTAGATCAACGTTAAATGGGCAGGGGAGGGATAGGAAGAAACAAAGTACCCCCCCTCGAGAATAAGTCCCTCTCGCAGTAACCATACCAGAGACCGTACAGTGACTTTTATTGCAGGTACTTGTAAAAGCATTCGAGGTGATTAGTATGACTTCACATAGGGACCAGTAGATGGTGTAATGGTTATGTCGCTGGACTCCCGCAGAGTCAACTCTTGATTTATTATTTATTTATTCATTCATTTATTTATTTAGGAGAGGTTTTCGCTATAGGGCGCATGTGGTCACCAGACAGACAGAGAGAGACAGAGAGACAGAAAGCGAGAAATCACCCCCCAGGGGGGATGGCCATGGTGCAATCCCTTCTCCTCCATTCTCCTCTCGGGATCTTGGGCACGCACGCACGCACACACGCCCAGCGTTGAGTTTTAAGCCACCGGGTCCGGGACACGAACCGTGGTCGATTACGTGGGAGTCCAGCGACATAGCCATTACGCTAACTGCTGGTCCCTGAGTCGACTCTTAACATAGTGGTTAGAGTCCCGGACTGGGTGCGTGAGCATGCATGTGTGTGTGCGTGTGTGCACATGTGTGCGCCCAAAATTCCCAGAGGAGAATGGAGAAGGGATTGCAGCATGGTCATCCCCCACTGGGGAGTAATTTCTCACTTTCTCTTTGTCTCTCCAGACAGCGCATGTGCCTTAGCAAAAATCTCTCTCACACACACACACAAAAAGTATTACTTTACATAATCTATAGCACTAAAGAAGAAAACCCTGGTTCTACTGAAGGGGAGTAAACAAATAAACTGCCCCAAAGCGCGGAGACTTCCCCTTTTGTTACAATGCGCTATATATATTGTATGTAGCAGAGGTTCCCATATTGGTTAAAAGGGAAGATCTCACGTACTGTGTTGCTCATCTCTTTGCTCTGCCACATAGTAGGAAATCTGTTACAGGGTCACCAGACCCCAGACGAGACGCATACTGTTGTAAACATATCCATGATGCAAACTGTGTCTCCCAGATCCTGGAGCAAATCTGGCTACATCCTGGATGCTAATTAGAGGCATCACCTTTCATCACAGGCCTTCCAAGCTTCCGGCTCCTACATCCACATCTTGCCACATGTGCTGGAAATCTATGGCTTGCCTTTTTTTTCTCCTCCACTCCTAGTTTCCATGGAGACGCAACAGTTTACTTTTCCCCCCAATTGTAAGCCATGGTTATTTTTAACTGAAAAACTCTGAGCCAGCCAGGTCACAGCTGGGATCTGGATGATGCAATGACGTCTGTAGCCACCCTTCTCTCCCACAAACGCCTTCTTTTCTGCAGTTGCTGGGGGCGGAGGCACTCCTGGGAGATTTGCTCTCAAAAGCTCTTTGCTTTGCATCATCAAGTTAAAACCCATGTTCTGACTCAGATCAGACAGGTGTCCTGAATCTGAAGCTACGCACGCCCGGAATAAGGCAAAGGTTTTGTCAGGGTGGAGAGCTAGGTACCGTTGACACTGTATCTATCACCTATCTATGGCCAGAGCTTGGGTAAACGAAGGCATGGGCTCCTGCCCCATTAGAATAACTGTATCTGCTGCAGCTCACTCCCAGTTACAAAGGGGCTCCTGGGGCCAGCAGGTGGCATAGTGGTTAAGAGCACTGGACTCTCACATGGCCGACCGGGGCTTGAGTCCTAGACCTGGCAGCTTGCTTTTTCACTTTCCCACTTTTTCTCTCACTCTGTCACTCTCTGGTCAAATTAAAATAAAGTTAAATAAATAATAATTCTTAAAAAGGGGGGGGCTCTTAACAGAATATTGTGTGGAAAAACTATTGCTGTACCTCTCCAAAGCAAGCAGCAAACTCCAGTATTGGTCAGAATACTGCTGTCCCTTCCTCTGTGGCTGAGAGTTCAAATCATCCCGCCCATGGCCAAGGCCCTGGTACTTGGGAGGTAGCACCTTTGAGGCATTTAACTTTTCAATAATTTTTTTGGAAAAGCTATTAAATTACCCTAAAATCATCCTTTGCACCTTTGACAACTTCCAACGATTAGAAACTCTATAATAAAAACAATGTATTTCTTAGCTCCAATTCAAAATCAGTTTTCTTACAGGGGACGTTGGGCACATTAAAATTGATTTCTAAAGCCCAGATTCCATTACATTTTAAATTTTTAAACATGTTCTCATGTTTCAAAGGAATTTCCTAAATGAAGAGTGAAAGAGGAAGGGAAATCCTAACCGGTCATCTATTGTTCAACTTGTTCAATGGGAGAAAAGAGAAAGGGTGGTCATTGCAAATCATTTCAGAAGTGGGGAATGCACTTGGCAGGTAGCTCTCCAAGGAGAAGAGAGATGCACTGCAAGTGTCAAGAGTTGGCATTTAGCTGTCAGTTCACCACCTCAGAGTGGTAAGATGACAGCTTTTCAGCATTTTTGCTTTAAGAAAGTACTGTTTTGTTTTTACAACAGCTCAGAGGTCTCCTTTCCATACTTTCTCAGACTCTGATTCTGTTCAACCTAACTGAACCAGCATGGTGAGATTATGAGGAAGCCACCTGAAAGCGTTTTGCCACATAAGACCTCAGGGAGGACTACAGCAAGATAAAGAAGTGCTCCTTGCTTAAGAACCAGAGATGAATTCAACCACAGGATTAGTCTGATGCCACAGAAACCCATGCACTATGCACCGAAGTGGAAATAGTGCATCAGATTCACTTATCTGGTCCGTAAAGACAGAACAAGTCTGGGCTGGCAACGTTTAATTGTAAGGTTCTCAAAGACAAGGGAAGGGAAAGCACAGTGAACTTCAGGGGTTTATTTATCAAATATGTTTGTAGCTCTTGGTTTGGGGTTTTAAATCTTTTAATGGTGACTGTCTTATCTCCACTTCCTTATTCCTACTCTCAACAGGAAAGGGGGCCTAGCACACCATGTGAAATAAGCAAGAGACTCATGTCAAAGGAATTTTAATGTGAGATGCAAGACATTTATCCTTCCCTTACATACCTGTGGCTCTGACTTGGCAGCCTGGTCAGTCATATCAAAGGCAGCTGATACTCTTTCACTGCCATTCCTGATAGCTGGAAGCTCTGGTCACCAAACAATCAACAGACAGACTCCCTGCCATTAGGTATGGGAACTCACTTTCCAGATCCCTCAGAAATTGTTTGCTTATCCCCTCCTCCAACACATTAACTTTCAGATTTGAGAAGTATTTCGTTAGGCTACTTAGATTCCAACATAGGCCCTAGTTGAAAGCTCTTCTCTATTGTTCTAATTCCCAAAAGAAGTGCCTGTGTCAGCAGGACTGTTACTCTCCAAGCTCATTTGCCCTGCTTGAACAGATCCTGTTCAGTTTCATCCAGGACTGGGTACTGTATATGAGTTAAGAGAAATCTTTCGGGACCAGCAGTTAGTGTAATGGCTATGTCACTGGACTCCCACGTAGTCGACCACGGTTTGCGTCCCGGACCCGGTGGCTTAAAACTCACGCCGGGCACATGTGCGTGCGTGCCCAAGATCCCGAGAGGAGAATGGAGGAGAAGGGATTGCAGTGTGGCCATCCTCCCTGGGGGGTGATTTCTTGCTTTCTGTCTCTCTGTCTCTGTCTGGTGAGCGCACGCGCCCTATAGCAAAAAAACCTCTCCAAAAAAAAAAAAAAAAGAGAGAAATCTTTCATCTTAGCTTTGGCCACTTTTTTTTTTTTTGGTTAAATTTTTGTCAGAGGGCGCGCACACTCATAGAGGGGTGGGAAGGTGGAGGAGGAGGGAGATGAGAAAGCGCCCTCCACTGGGAATGATCACACAGCAACCTTTCTCCTCCATTTCCCTCCTTTTGGGATTTTGGGTGTGTGGGTGTGCATGTGGGTGTGCGTGTACACACACACACACAGTGTGTCTTCTAGGCCACCAGGTCCTGGACTTGAACTATGCAGTCACCCATGGAGGATCTAGCCACCCTAACCAACATTCCACAGGCTGACCTAGCCACCTTTTACGCAAGGTCACATACAGTCCTTTTTGGCAGCTCTGGGAGAAGGTTATTATCTGCATCTGGCTATACACATTAGAAAGGAAAGCAAAGCTTCCAGATCAGCACCTCTTGAATCAATCTTTAATTAGAAATACAAACAAAAAAAGTCAGCTACACACAAATTGTAGAAAAGTTT